CACAACATTGTAAAATGACTATAACTCAATAAAAAAATGTTTTAAAAAGTCTAGTTCATAGAAATGAACAGTATAGTGGTGCTTACTAGGGGTTGGGGGTTGGGAGAAATAGGAAGAGGTTGGTAAAAAGGTATAAACTTTCCATTATAAGGAGGAAAAAGTATGAGGATCTAATATGTAACATGGTGAGTATAGTTGATAACACTATTTTACATAATTTAACTTTGTCAATAGAGTAGAACTTAAATCTTTTCACCAAAATGGGAAGGAGGTAAATATCTGGTGAGGTATATGTTAATTAACTTAATGGAGAGAATTCTTTCATAATGTGTATGTGTATCAAGTCATCATATTGTACACTTTATCTTACAATTTTATTTATTTATTATATCTCAATACATCTAAAAAAATCACACACAAAAAAATAGAAACTTAAAAGACGAACAAAAACAACCAAAATTTCCTGAATGAGCTTAACAGTAGACTGGACACTGCAGAAGAATGTGTCAATGCCTGATGACAGGTCAATAGAAATTATTTAAACTGAACAAAGAAAAAACATTTTAACCAACAGAACCTTAGTAATATGTGAGATAGCTGCTAGTGTTCTATCATGTGTGAAAATGGACTTTCAGAAAATGAGAGAAAGGTAATGGGGCAGAAAAAGTTTGTAAAAATCGTAGCCAAAAGTTTCCCAAATTTGGTATAAAACACCAGCCTACTGATCCAAGAAGCTCAGCAAAGCTCAAGTCAGGCAAATTCAAAGAAAGTTGCACATACAATAAACTGCTGAAATCCATATCAGAAAAAGTCAAAGTAGCCGTAGAAAAAAGAACATTACATACAAGGGAACAATGATAAGAACTGACTTCTGCTTAAAAACAGTGAATGTCAGGAAACCAATGAACACCAGGCGTAAAGTGCTGAAAGGGAAAAGAAACCTGTCAGCCCAAAATTCCATATTCAATTTAAAAACAACCCTTCATAAACAATATATTTCTGATACATTTAGGATATACATATTATAATCCCTAAAGCAATGACTTAAAAAAAATTTCAAAACACTATAGCTAAAAGCCAATAAGAAAATAAAATGGAGTATTTTTAAATAATTGATTAATCTATTAAGAAGGTAGAAAAAAGATGAATAATGGAGCTAAAATCAAATGGAAAAAATAGAAAGCAGATATCAAGACAGTAAACTTAAAACCTACCATATCATTAATTACAATTAAATATAATGAACTCCAGTTAAAAGAATAATTCCTGGATTAGGAGATCCAAATGTATGCTGTTTGCACAAATAACCCTTCAAGCATAAAGACAGATAAACTGACAGTAAAATATGAAACAAGATAGAATATGCAAATGATAAGCGTAAGAAGGCTAGTTTGGCTTCATTCACATCAGACAAAGTAGACTTCAAGATTAGAAAGGCATTCCATAATGCGAAATGTCATTCATCAGGAAGACACAGATTCATAAATGCATACAGACAACACTAAAATGCATGAAGCAAAATCCATTGGAACTAAAAGGGAAATAGACAAATAAAACTCTTTTCTATTGGTAAAAAATAAAATAAAATAAAGAAAAAAAGAAAACCCTCTCCTGAACTACCAATATACATTTATTTCCCTCATTATGATCTCTCATAGCTCTTTTTTTCCATAGCATTCATCACTATAAAAATTTATTTTGTATTTAGAATTAATTTGGGGTGGGGGCTGGAGCACGAGGGACAACACAGACTGTATTTGGAGGCATCTTTTGAGCTTGCTGAGTGGACATGATGAGCAAAGCTCACCCTCCCAAGTTGAAGAAATTTATGGACAAGAAGTTATCACTGAAATTAAATAGTGGGGAGACATGTCCAACAAATATTTTGGGGATTTGATCCCTTTATGAATCTTGTGATAGATGACTGTGTGGAGACAGCAACTAGTGGTCAACAGAACAACACTGGAATGGTGGTAATACTAGGAAATAATATCATCATGTTAGAAGCCTCAGAATTAGTATGAACAATGGCTATGTTCACCACAGAAATCAACTGCTTCCACGTGTCCCCTCCTCTTCTCCACCTTTTACTGCAATTAAAATTGGGTCATGTACATTTTCTTACTGAATCTTTTTTGTGAAATAAACTTTTGTAATAGTTAAAAAAAAATTTGTTTTCCATCCTTACTAGATGAGCTCTATAAAACAGACTTATTTTGCTCAGGACTACAATTCTGTACATGGAACAGCATCTATCATATAGTAAGCAGTTAAAAAATATTTACTGAATACATAAAAATTTTAAATTGGCATTTCTTTTATTTTGATTTGATTTCTTTGATTGATATCAAATTTGCATCTTTTTTTCATATACTATGGCCATCCATATTTATTCATATGTAAGCTTACTATTGCCCATTTTTTTCAATTGGAAAATTCAAAAGTTTTGCTTTAATAATGTAAATTAAGACAACAATTTTCAAAATTCTAGTCAGTTTTTAACGGATATTACATTCAATATAAAGATAAATTTGAGGGAACCCAAAACTTTGTGGTATTTAGTCCATCCATCTAGGAATATTATAGGAGTATCATATTTGTTTTCATTTAGCAAACAACTCATATATTTATAATGTTTAGCCCACCCATCCAGGAATATTATATTTGTTTTCATTTATCAAAGCCATCTTTTTGGTCCCTTGCAAAGGTGTCCTGTATTTTCCAAGAGGTCCTACACATTCCTGTTTAGCTCAAAGTATTTTATATATTCCTAAATCCCTTTTCCTTTTATGTTTTTCTATGAGGTTTTGCTGTAATATAGAAAGACTATGAATTTTGGTATGTTTATATACAAAAGATCACTTTGCTAATACTTACACCTCATTTCCTTTTCCCTTAATAAGTTGGATAGAACTCCTAGAATAAAATTATTTAACATAGAGGGGAGATTTACCTGTCTCTGACTTTAATGGGTATGCCTATAGTATTTCCTAAGATAGTATTTATACTGTAATCCACATTTGATTAGAAAAATTTAATTATAGTAAATATTAATAAATATATTTTCTATATCCTTTAAGATAACCACATATTCTTTTATCTACCTACTGATATACTGAATATATTAATAGATTTGTTGTTATTGATCCATTTAATTTCATTCCTAAAATAAATCTTACCTGCTTATAGTATACTATTATTTTACTATATAGTTGTCAAATTTCTCAATATTTTCTCTTTTAATTTGTGGTTTTTGTGTCTCACCTGAAAAGGTACTGCCCATCCTAAGATTTTTAAAAGCTAAAAATTTCTACAAGTGGCATAATAAACAATGTAAAAAATACATTGTCAGTCTAAGAGAATATATTTATGACAGATATAATAGACAAAGGATTAAAATTCCTAATATACAATGCAGTAAGAAAAATGAAATTGAAAAAAAGAAAAGACTATAAATAAAAACTCACAGAATACACACATGCTCATACACACTTGTATATTTTTAACTTGAGGAAAATTTAAGAAAATAAACTATAATACAATGTTAGACAGGATGTGTTAAACATTCACTCTTACATACTGCTGAAGGGACTATGAATTGAAATAACCATTTAGGAGGCTAATTTTGCATATTTAACCACAACTTTCATTCTGGATATAAATAATTAAGTAAGTCATAAATTCTACTGGATATAAATAATTAAGTAAGTCATAAATTCTACTCTTAAGAAGCTCTCCTACAGAATACTGATATAGTCCTACAGAATGCATATGTTCACTCAGCACTGTTAATTTAACAGAATAATATTGGAACCAATCAAAATATTCACAAATGAGGAATAATTGAATAAATTACCTCTGAACAATAAAATATCATGCAGCTATTTGAAAAGATAAATCTAAGTGAAATGACCTAGAAATATGTCCTTGATGAATAAGTGGAAAAAAAAAACTGTGTAATAAGTTTTTGTCATGTAAAGATGTAAATACAAATAAGACCCGGAAGGGTTTGCACCACACAGCTAAAAGTGGTTACCACCGGGAGATGAGCCTGGAACCACCGGGAGATGAGCCTGGAAGGGTATAGGGTTGAATTTTCCATTTTTACTTTATATACATTTTTTAATAGTGAGGATAGAGATGATTTTTTTTACTTTATCTTGGGTTTTCTGTATATTTCCAAATTAAAAAAATAAATAATTCGGTGTGTCTAATTTGTTAGTTTTCACTTAAGATTTCCATACATCTATTCTTAAGTGAGACCAGTCTGTAGGGTTTCGTGTATGTGTGTGTTATCTTTGTCTTACTTGAATATCAAAGTTTTACTCTCCTGAAAAAATGAATTTGTAGTTTTCCATTTTCTGTGCTATAAACATTTGAGTTAAATAGGAATCATTTGATTTTTACAAGGCTTCTTAGATTCAGTTGTAAAGTTATCTGCATGTTACATCTTTCGCATTTTTGCAAGGGTAGTTCTTGGACCACTTTTCCTACTTCTTCCATAGGTTTTTAGTCTGATAATCAGATTTCTTTCTGTAAATAAGTTAAGCTTTCACATCTGTATGAACTTTTCACAGAAAAGTTTTACTTACTCTACTGCTCATGTCTTCAATTTGCTTTGCTCGCTGAATTCTCCTCATTTCTATAACCTGCTCTCTCTTCTTCTGCAACCATGCTTTAAACACCATGTCATTCTCTTTTTTCTTTTCTTTCTCTTCTTCTATTCTCCTTTGTTCTTCCTAGTGGAAAAAATACCAAAAGACATTAATGAAAAGTCAATAAAATTACATGAGTTATCAAAGTAGAGAAATACATTTTGAGATCTGACTTTAGGATTCCCTGCCCCTATAAATTTCCATCTGAAGATTGAGCCTACCCCTAAAAACACACAAACAAAAACAAAAAACGAAAAAAAAGGGCCTATAATTTGATTAGAAAAAAAAAGACTTTCTAGATAAATTAAATTGCAGAGACAGAATCTACAATTACACAGATAGATGTACAATGCATACATCCTTGGATCTCTCCTTCACTTCCTAGTTTACTTTTGGTATTTAACTCCTCAAATTGCAAAAGAAAAAAAAAAGAAACCACCATGCTCTAGAAGCACTATATGGTGTCTATAGCACTATAAATGTCTGAAACATTTTTACATTATTGTTAAATTTGTTAATTGTGACACAAGACTTTGTGTTTACAAAACAAAATCCTATAATCATTTTCTTTGTGAAGTGTACAGTCATTTCTGAAGTGTACAAATGAGCAATGATGTGTTGTCTAGGCCTTGCTTTAAAAATACCTCAGCCAAAAAAGGAGGAGATGAAGCAAATATGCCAAAATCTTGGTGACTTTTAAATCTGAGTTATCTGAGTACAAGGGGTTAACTGTACCTTTATATGTGTTTGAGTTTTTTATATTATAACGTCTACAAATACTTTCAACTAGTGTATACTCATAAAGTAACATTTTTGCTGTCAGAAAAATTTTCAATTAGATAATAAGAACAAAATGAATTTTTTAAACTGAATTATTCAGCTAATATTATAAAAGAGTTACTTTACCTTGAAGGAAAGTACTTAAACCAGTTATGAAGAGCTATAAAATAGTTACTGGGAGCAAAGCAGCATGTCACAGTGGGAACAGCACTAAGCTAGGAGTTAGGAGACCTGAGGAACAATCATACTGCCATCATACTGTGTCCATTTGGGCAAACCCCTTAACTCAGAATTCTCATCTATTAAATGAAGTTACATTAACAACTCTTAAATCTCTTCTAATGCTAAAACTTTAGCATTTTAATAAACTAAATTATAAATTCATGCTTAAACTGTGTCAAATAATGAAAATCAGAGTTCTTTCCTTGCTTTTGACAATATATATAGCAAGGCCCCCTTTTTTTTTGATTGAATAAAATGTAGGAAGGAAAGAAACAATTCTATACAATTAACAGCATAAAATATCTTTTTAAATACCTATATACTATTTCCTAAGCCCTAAAGGAGCTTACACTATAGAAAATGTGAATTTATCAAAGATTAAATTTTACATTTAGATCTTTTTAGAACAAAGAACAAACATCAAACATGACAGGGGTACATTCTTTTAAGATTTCAAAGAGACAGATGAATAATTACACAATGAATCAGTATGACCCTGGTGTCTGGGAAGGGAATCTCATCTTCAAAGGAGTACTAGCATTGGTGTCATGGGAAAGGGGAGAACATTTATCCTGTCTTCAAAGTGGACATTCTAAACAATCTGGTAAATACATTCTTCTTCGTTTTAATGGTTAAAACATATGTATGATGTATGTTTGACAGGCCATAAGACAGGCTGTCTTAGCATAAAGTTCAAGACAAATCATACATAAGCCAGAATGACTTCTCCACAGCTCAGTATGTGAAAATGTCTTCCATTAGCAGGCATGAGCAATATATGAAATACACACACACACACACACACACACCCAGAGAATTATAATCTAATTCTACCTACTGCCTCCTAAAACCCAACATTTTGTGCCTTCATTTTTCATTTTTCCATCTGACATCTGATTCTCACCTATCAAGATTACTTTCAGCAGTCACTTAACCTCTCTGAACCGCACCTTTAGAACAAAAAGCTCGGATGAAGCCATCATTGAGATCTCTGGCTGTAACATATGTCATTCATCACTATGCTTTTGTGATCCTTACAAGAAAGGACAAAGGTAATCGTGGTGTTTGTTATATAAATATACATTCTTAACACTTAACCACTTAATCTAACAACAGACAAAACAAGCAAGCAAATATATCCAATAATTGAAAGAATTGTTTCAATTCCTACTGCATTTATAACACATGAAAACATATTCTACTTTCAATATAATGCCCATTTGTGGTCTCACCTCTCTCTTTAGCTTTTCTCTCTTTTGTTCTAACCGTTTTTGCAGTTCCTTCTGTCGAGGAGAAAGACAATATGTTGAGGTCACGGGAGATATATTTGCAGACTGTGTCCTGTGATTAGATTTTCCATTCCCCTTACTTCTATCTGAGTTGGCAGCAGAGTCTGGATGAGTCTTGGGGTTGGGTGGTGGCTGAGGGATGTAAGCCAGCGGCTCTTCCGTTGATGAGTGAGAAATAGCATGACTCTTTGCTATTGGCTCTTCCTTCTTGACTCCACTGACAGATGAATTGGAAGATCTGGGTGACAACTGTTGAGGTTCATTATCTGTACTATTAACATTATTAATGGGGGGCAAAAATCCCTGACTCTCAATGTCTTGTAAATTCAGAAGTTCAAACTTTCCATCTCTCTCTACTAGTATTTTCCTATCCTTGTTTTCTTCACCATTTCCATCAGTGAGTGACAGGAGCACATTTTCTTGCCCAAATTCATTGGAAATATGTAACTGTGACAGTTTTCCAGACATATTACTTTCATTTTCAAAATAATTTTTGTAAGTATCAGTGTCTTCAAGAGGAGGAACTTCCAAATCAACTAATTTGTCCTTGAACTTAAGTTTTCGTTCCCTTTTATTATTCACAGGTTCTTCATTTTGTAGAAGTTTGTTGGCTTGTATAATTTTCTCCATAATATATCTCCTTACTTCTTCATCCTCTTCCTCCTCCAGGTCTTGCTGGCTTTCCAGTCTGGATTCCTGTAAAGAGTTTTCACTGTCTGAATCTGATATGGGATCCAAAGGTTGAATACTTGGTACAGAAATGAAGTCATTTCTTCTTGGTGATACTTCATCCTTCAAAGATTTGTCAGGATCAGAAAGCTGGTTGCTCTGTTCGATTTCTGTTTCATTCTCTTTTAAATCTTGGTTAATATTCTCTTCATTCCCACAAGCCATCTAAAAACAGAGAGAGGTGAGATTCTCTTTCAACAAAAATTGAGACTCTTTATCCATTTATACATAGACAATCCAAAATGGATTTTCATATTCATGTGATTTATCTTATGAATGGGAAAATTAACATGCTTCCTGCTCATACTTCACTCAGAATTTTCTAACATATTTATGAGCATTCCAAGGGGAAAGCACTTCTCTAAATTTGAATTTGATATTCAAGTACTATATTGATATTTTTTTAATTTTATGCTAATATATAAAAAGATAACTACAAATAGCACAATATTATTTTCATATTCTTCCCTCTCTAAAATTTTCTTCCTTTTACATTTTCAGAACAATATATTTTAAAATGTTTTCTCTTTGTAATATTTGTATTTTTCAAAAAGAGTATCTTTCTCCCCAGAACCATTAAGAAGTCACTGCCTCTGGTCAAATACTAATCATTTTGAAGCTCTTACCATCTTTTCAGATTATTATTGCTATTTTCTGCAGGACCTACACCCAAATTTCAGGTCAAGTTTTCCCTCTAGATCAGATTTTCCTTCCTCAACTATTTTCAGAGGCTCCAATAATCTATGTTAAACACCATCATAATTTGGTCTTACTTCTTTTAACTTAATGCCACATGAACCATACACTGTTATTATCACATTACAAAACCTTTCTCCACATATGTTTCTAACTGATGGCTTCTTAACTAGCATCTCTCCCACATACATACATCCTCCTCTATCAAACACTTTGCACCTAAAATATTTAATTTACCTCTTTCTCAGGCAGTTTTCTCCCCTGAAAGAGTTATATGGGAGCTACTATTTCTCACTGTCTTAAACCCATTAAAATTATCTTCCTCTTTTACTGGATAACAGTCATCATTTTTGACTGCCTCCTCTTCCTAACCTGTACAACACTGCTATACATCCAATAAGCAAATAAACCTGGCCCCCTAAAATGACTACCAAATAATTCAGATTAAATAAGACCTCTGTATTATAGTGGTTCTTTTTAGCCTGATTTGATTCTGGGGTTCATTCCTACAGCATCTGTTTCTGAAGACTCCTTTGGCTTTCACGTCTTTCTAAAACCCACTACAATAAAACTGCCACTTTTTATAATGAAATCTTCCCCTGACTCTCATCCCTGTCTCAAGCTCTGTCGTCCATACTTCCTACCAGCTTCAAAAGAAGGGACTGTAATAATCCATTGGAATGAACCAGATTCATTAGAACACTTTGTTTTGACCACTGCTATATCCCCAGCACCTAGACCAGCCTCTGACACATGGTAGGTGATCATTACTTTTTGCTGAATAGAGAAATAAAACAATGAATTACCATTATCACTTCTCTAACTCTATCACCCTGTGTGTGGATCTCACACCCTTCCAGGCATAAGACCTTGGTGTTCAGCATTGGTATCTCTGGGTATCTCTACGGCTAGTCACTCTGATTATTCTTCTATTAAAGATGTATAAAACTCCCATGTAAAAGCCATCTTAGAAAAGTCTTCACTTTTGACTCTGTTGCCTTTTTCAAATATCGTCTATCCCATTGCATAAGAAAGCAAGCAGGAACGAAGAGAAGTTTGTGATGTAAAACCTGCTGCCTTCATTTCCTTGTAGTCTTTTACTTAAGTCTCTTAAACCTGGCTTATTCTGTAGCCACTCTGATTATTTTCCCTCTAAAGGTACCTATTCTTATTCCAGTCTTGATCCTTTTCTTCATTATTCTCTATTTATTGACATGACTTATATTATATACATCTATATATAATACATAATTATTAATATAGGGTCAATTGCATGTATATATAAACACATACACATACATACATGTATTATATATAGATACACATACACACTATATATATGTAAAGAAAGAAGGAAACTTCTATGACCCAGAAACTAGTTTATTTTTCTGGATTTCCCTTCTATATGTCTGATAAGTAGTGTATGATCATGTTTAATGAATCTGCTTTTTCCTACATATATTCTTATGGCTTAGTCTTTGACCCTTTACTTTTTTCTGTATATTCAATTCCCCTGAAGAGCTAATTCACTCTTCAGGTTTCAAATATTTGCTGAAAGACAGTGTTTTTGAGGATTTGCTTTATTTTTCATATATATTAAAAGTATAACCTCATGCTATTATCCAAGTTCACATAAAGCAGAAATTAACTGTTTTTACTTTTGATGCATTCAGTTATATTATTTATTTATATTATGTAAATTATAATTTTAAATGATAATTTTAACTTTATTAAGTGCCTAACTTAATCCCTGCTCTCTCAATAATTAGCCCGATTCCTTAGGATACACCATTTAAACGCTCTATGCCTCAATTTTCTCGTCTCTAAGATGGAGATAATCATACTCGCTTTATGTATATCAAAGGAATTCTGTGAGGTTTAGATGAGGTAATATATGTGAAACTCTTCAAGAACTACAAAGCACTTTGTTAATATACGTATTATTAATGCTATTGGCAATTTATATATACCTCTATTATGCTGGCACTTTTTTCTTTTTCATTAATTAGCCACTCCAGGTCTTTTTCAAAGTCGTCTTCATAGTCTCCACTGTCCTTCGAATCACTATCTTTATTTTCATCCATTTTCCGTTTGTTAAAGAATAATGCTATAAGATTATAAGAGATAAGGTAGGGTGGAGGGTGGGAAGGGATAGACTGGGATTTCAAAACTGTAGAATAGATAAACAAGATAACACTGTATAGCACAGGGAAATATACACAACATGTAATGATAACTCACAGAGAAAAAAATGTGACAATGAGTGTGTATATGTCCATGAATGACTGAAAAATTGTGCTGAACACTGGAATTTGACACAACATTGTAAAATGATTATAAATCAATAAAAAATGTTAAAAAAATAAAAAAATAAAACAAATGCATTTCAAACAAAAAGAGATAAGGTAGATGTTATGTCTATTTTTGGGGGAGTATGGAGTATGGAGATTAATGTTGATGGTAAGCTAATTAACATATAGAAACACAAGTTATGGTATATTCAGAATAAGCATATCTGTATACTCTAAAAGAAAGACAAAGGCCAGATATTTTCTAGGTGAACCATTCCTAACAACCATCCCACCTAACCCCAATTCCTGAAACCCTAATTTACAAGGAGACTAAAAAAGGTGGTAAGAAGACTCTCCAAGGTTTAAAGGATTTTCCACATTCCCTGCCTATCATTAAAACTCCTTGTCCATGTCAGAGCTGATGAATCATCTTTTTAGTCTCACTCACATTTTCTTATGTTCAAATAAAAACGATTCTATCAATGCTTATCCTCAGTTTCTCAATCCTTCTAGTAATTTATATGGCATAAGTTGTGATCTGAGAGGTTTTTTAAACCTATGTAGCAGAAGACAATGACAACAAATAGGGATATCAGATGAAAGTTAATAAATGTTTATGAAAACAGTGTATAAATTCAGTCATTTTTAAGAAAACAAACTAAAGTTATCAGCAAATTGAGGTCAGTTCCTAGCCCTGCTAATTTCTTGTGCATAATTTTTCAAATAAAGGAAGCATTTAAGTCTTTACCCATGTCTTTGTGTGGGTTGGCATACTATATGTATATGCGTGAATATATAACACAATTTTGAAAAATATTTATTGAATATCTACAATATTCCTATAAAGATTATAATTTTATATATACATATAAAGATCATAATATTATTATGCCCTTGAGCCCTCGTACAGAAGACAGACAAAAACAAAACACATAAATTTAAAATGTAGACAAAAAACATAAATTGAAAATGCAGGTAAGTGGAATGAAGATATATTTTATATACATATATATATATATATTTTTTTTTAATGGAGGTATTGGGGATTGAACTCAGGACCTTGTGCATGCTAAACACACACTCTACCACTGAGCTCTACCCTCGACCCTGAAGGTATATTATAAAGGACTGTGGAAGGAAGAATAAAGACACAACTAAGCCAGTCTAAAATTGGAAATATCAATGAAGGCTGGGACGGGTTTTGAATACTGAGTACGAGAGTTCAGCAGTTATTCTAGACAATAACAGCATGAGAAAGAACAAGCATGGAAGTGCATGGAATTTTCCAGTATGGCCTGAACATAAACGTGCTCCTGAAGGGTCTGGAAGGAGAGAGAAGGGGACAGTTTGATGTCACATTATCTTTTCAAAAGGTAAAGGGCTAAGGGAACACTGTTTATGTAGGTCTAACTGTCATGAATACCCAAAGGTAGAAACATACAGCAATAATCTGCATACTTTCCGCTACTGAGTAAACAAAAACAAAAAGAGCAATGCTCTTTAAATGGACTTAGAATTTCAGGTCCAATTTCAAAAGAACTGTAGAAATATGATCTTCAGGGCCCCAAACAACTGGGACTCTGTTTCTATACCTGCCTTCTCTTGCTCCTACACCAAGAATAACTTGCCTAAAACCCTTTTTGGAAAGTAGAAAGTACAGATGTCAAGAACACAAGAGATCTAGGCACATTTTAAAAGATATAAAATGACAGATGTTCTGCCTGATTTTATAAATACCCACAGACTTTGTTTTGGTCATTAGCTTCACTTTATTCTCCCCAAACCTTTGACCAGACTACTAACCTAGTACCAATTTTACTAATGCAAGATGTACATTTTTCCCCTGCTACTGTTCACCATCAAATGATAGTGAAAGCATGGCTAAGAGAAGAGATAAGGCTTTTCAGTACTATGTAGGAAAAACCTACTAATAGCTTTTGGTAGACAGTGGGTTCAAAATGAGTTAGAAGAATGATGAAGGCAAAAACATAAATGAGCTTCAAGGCTGAGACTATGCCTGAGGTACAGATAACACATGAAGCTCTGCATCTAGTTTGCTACTGTTTAGAGAACAAAAGAAAGTTGGAATACATTCAGGGGCTAATAAG